AGCCTCTTGATGAAAGTGAAAGAGGAGAGTGAAAAAGTTGGCTTAAAGCTCAACATTCAGAAAACTAAGATCATGGCATCTGGTCCCATCACTTCATGGCAAATAGATGGGGAAACAGTGGAAACAGTGTCAGACTTTATTTTTTGGGGCTCCAAAATCACTATAGATGGTGATTGCAGCCATGAAATTAAAAGACGCTTACTCCTTGGAAGGAAAGTTATGACCAACCTAGACAGTATATTAAAAAGCAGAGACATTACTTGGACAACAAAGATCCATCTAGTCATGGCTATGGTTTTTCCCGTGGTCATGTATGGATGTGAGAGTTGGACTGTGAAGAAATCTGAGCGCCGAAGAATTGATGCTTTTGAGCTATGGTGTTGGAGAAGACTCTTGAGAGTCCCTTGGACTGCAAGGAGATCCAACCAGTCCATCCTAAAGGAGATCAGTCCTGGGTGTTCACTGGAAAGACTGATGCTGAAACTGAAACTCCAGTACTTTGGCCACCTTCATTAGTTGTACTTTCTCAGTCCTGGGATGATTTTCCCTTTCTCACTGTGGAGGACTTTCAGGTTGACACCTTATCGGTGAGAAGAATGTCAGACTGGCCAAGATGTGGGGAAAGAGGGTTTGGGGTTCAAAAAAAAGAGCAAGTGCAAAGGACTTGAGGCAGGGACCTGAGGCCGGAACAAATGACTCTTGGAGAGGTAGAAAGAGGGTCAGTGTGGTTGGAGGACAACAGCAGAGAAATCCTTAGAGAGGCAGGCTGGGGCCATGATGGGACAGCACAGGTTGACTGGCTGTAGTTGGGGGAAGGGCTGTTTCTGGTCTCCAAGTGACACCTGGTAACGGCTGAACTGGGTACTCAAAGATCTGGCTCTCATACTGAAAAAGAACACTGGATTTTGAGTCAAAGGTATGTGTACCCTAGCCCTCATTTTGCTACTGAAAAGCGTGTAACTTTAGGAAAATTCTTTTCTAAAAAACGACTTTATTGATATAATTCATACATACCACACAATTCATACAACTCACTGTACAATTCAGTGGGTTTCAGTATATTCAGTTGTGCAACCATCACCACAGTCAATTTTTAATCAACTCTCAAGACACTTCATTTCATTTAGCAGTCACTTCTATTTTCCCTAACCCATCCCCACTCCTCAAGCCCTGAGACCACCATTTAACTCTCTGTCTCTGAATTTGGAGGGCTTCCCTGAAAGCTCAATTGGTAAAGAATCCGCCTGCAATGCAGGAGACCCCGGTTCAATTCCTGGGTCGGGAAGATCTCCTGAAGAAGGGACAGGCTACCCACTCCAGTATTCTGGCCTGGAGAATTCCATGGACTGTAAAGTCCATGGGGTCGGAAAGAGTCGGACACGACTAAGCTACTTTCACTTCACTTCTGAATTTGGGGGCAAATTTCTTAACCTCTCTGTGCCTGTCTTCTCTTCTATAATACAAAATGGAAACGACAATCCTGGAGGTGGTTGAAACGATAAGCGAAAACTGAGGGTCACTGCTACGATTCTATGAAGAACCTGACGCAAGGCACAAGCGGTTCAAGTCCCGGAGTTAAGAGCCCGCCTTCGCGTCTGCAAACACTGAGGGCTAGAATCCCACGCCCCGGTGACACACCCCGGTCGTCTGTCTCCAAGGCAACGTTTCAAACAGCTCCCTCTCTCAGGGTTTCCTTTCCGGGGTGCAGACCTGATCCCTCTCCTTTTTCTCCCCTCACCTGATGGCTCCACTGAGCGCCGCCGGAGGCTCCTGCAGACCTCCCCACGGTCATCTCCTCAGCCGGGTAGAGAGACAAACGGCGGTGACAGCGGCGGTAGAGGCGCAAGCGACGCTGCTCAGGTTCCGCCTCTTTCTAGCGTGGGCCTCTGATTGGCTCCCAGGCGGATACTCGAACCATTCCCCTCCCCAGGCAGCCTCTCATCTATCCCGCCCAGGCAGGGAAGACTCGCTTTCTGATTGGCCTATTCTCTTCGCACTTTATACTTCCGGTTTTAAGATCGTAGCTCTAGCGGCCGGTGATTGGACGGCTCGTCTCCGGAAGTGCTGCCTAAGGCGGGCATGTTCAGTTTCGTTCAGTTCAGTCGCTCAGATACGGCGCAGGTCAGCGCCATGGTGGCCCAGCTGGCCAGGGTCCGGTGGGGCGCTGTCTTTGCCGCTGCCCAGAAGGGCCCGCGGGTCTCCTGCCGGAGGTGGGCTGGCGCCTCGGCGGACAACGTGTACGATGTGGTGGTGTCAGGGGGAGGCCTGGTAGGCGCCGCTATGGCTTGTGCCTTAGGTAAGCACATCTGCAGGCCAGTATTTGCGGGGAGCGAGGCCGTTGAAGGAACGATGAGGAGTGTGGGAGCCCTGGCACTGTTTGCCCAAAGCCTTAGTGTTGCACATCTTGTGGTCCATTTCCTGCCCAGAGGAACCGAAGGACGCCGGGGGCAAACGTTTGTTCCTTCAGAATTCCGAAGGGTCAAAAGTGGGAGGGACCGTAAGTGTCCTTCCAGCACTTGGGTACACAGACCCGCCCAGGGTTATTTCGGTCTGGACACCGAAGTCATCCGGCAGTTGTCTACTGAGCTAGGTTAGGCGGTTTTCTTGTTGTTTTTTAGACAGCTTCATTGAGATATAGTTTGCATACCATAAACTTCACCCACTTAAAAGCATATAATGTAATGCTTTTTAGTTTATTCGTAGAGCTGTGCAGCCATTGCCACAATGAATCTTAGAACATTTTTATCACCCCGCCCCAAAGAAACACGAACCCGTTAGTAGTCACTGCCCATGCAGCCCACCCTCTCCCCCATCTTCCTCACCCTAGTACCCTAGGCAACCACTCACGTACTTTTTCATCTCTATAGATTGGCTTTTTCAGGACTTTTTCATATACGTGGAATCTGCTTAATGTTTTCAGGAATCATCCAGGTTGCAGCATATGTCAGTGTGTGCGTGCTCAGTCGCCTCCTAGTCTTGCGACCCTATGAACTGTCGCGTGCTGGGCTCCTTTGTCCATGGGATTTTCCTGACAAGAAATACTGGAGTGGGTCGCCATGCCCTCCTCCAGCGAATCTTCCCAACCCAGGGATCGATCGAACCCGTGTCTCCTGCATTGCAGGTGGATTCTTTGCCGCTGAGCCACGGGGGAAGCCCAGCATGTGCCAGTACTTTGTTTTTATTGCCAAATAATAAATAATATTTTGTGTGGATATATATATAGCCTATTTTGTTTATTCATTCACCAAGTGATAGACATTTGAGTGTTTTCACTTTGGAGCTATAACAAATAATGCTACTAATCATTTCTCCTACATGCTTTTGTTTGTGTAAACATGTATTTTTGGTTATCTTGGATATAATCTTAGAAGTGGATTTTCTGGGTCATTTGGTAAACTCTGCTTAACGTTTTGAAGAACTCCCAGTGTTCTAGAGCAGCTGCACCATTTTACATTCCCACCAGCAATAAATGAGAGGTCTCATTTCTCCACATCCTGGACAGCACTCGTATTGTCTTTTTGTTACTAGTTATAATAGTGAGTGTGAGGTAACATCTCCTGGTTTTGATTTGTATTTCCCTAATGACTAATGATGAATATTCTTTCATGTGTTTATTGGTTATTTGTGTATCTTCTTTGGAGAAATGTCTGTTCAGTACTTGAAAAGTTTTTTAGTCTTACTGAGTTTTTTGCTAATTTCATTAATATTTGGTGTTGTGCTCTTTTCTTTGTTTAGTTTTTTTTCCTTCCTGTTTTGTTCTTTTTCTCACCCCATTTGCCCACATCCCAAGGACGGAACGTTTTTATAAGTGTAGAGAATTCTGTATTGTAATTGTTCATTTTCCTGTTTGTTTTTTTTTCCATAGAAGTATAAATTCCTTAATTCAAGGCTGACTTTAAGCAGATACTTGCAAGACAATTCTCTGTGTAAGTTTACAAAAGAGAGGTCGTAGGCTGAGTACCCCAGGTTATGAGTCACTGCCTCTGAGTAAGTCAAACCTACCGAGCCTAGGTTTTCCCTAAAAAATTCACATATCAGCTAATTTCCTGTTTTAAAAGCTCAGAGGAAATACTGACTGCTAAAACATGAAAATTGAAGCTTGGTGGGAGATTTATAAGTCTTTGGTACAATTTTTTCAGTGAGCAAGCCTCTACTTTTTTCATATAAAATATGAACAGGGTAAGGAGACTCTGTCCTTGGACAGGTCCTGCTGAGTCAGGTAATCAACCTGCTTGAGATTCTGTGCTTGCTAGTGTCTCCCCTTGATCATCATGGCTTGTATCCCCAAAAATATTCTTTGTTAATAGGTTGTATGGTGATCAACTTTTACAGTTTGACATCCACTTAATCTTGGATAGCTGCTTTAAAAGTGAAAATTTTCCCTGGCCTCTTCATATTTCCGTATAGACCAGTTTATGTCTTCCTTGATTCTTCTCTTCTTTAAACTCACATTAGTTCATGTTTTAGGCTTGAAATGTCTATTTCCCTCTCAGCATTGTTACTTGTAAATGATATTCTCCAGTAATTTTTTTCCAAGAGATTTTCCTAAAACATGACATTAAATAGCTAAAAATAAAATACTGAAAAATAAAGTAATGACCCTGACTATTTTATGTGCTTGGAGATCTAAGTTTTTTTGACCAAAGGAAATTTATAAAGTACATAATGTTATGTATGCATTTGTGGGTGATGAAAGCTAGAAACTGTGAGAGCTGGGATTAAAATCCAGAGCTTCTGATTTTCATTTCCAGTCCAATGATTGTTTTAAATAAGAAGGAAACTTCCTTTAAAGGAAGTTAAATGATGAAGTGACAGGTCTTCATATGAGATTGCATGTATTTAAATCCTTGGTTTTGTCTCTAATTCTCTCTGGGTAAAATTGTATAAATTACTCACAATTTCTGCACATTGATTTTTCTCATCTCTAAAATTAGGACAGAATAGCTTTTTATTATTCATAAAATTGTAGTATGGATTATATCAGAAGATACTATAGTAAACCATATATAATTGCACCGAGCATATCAGTTCAGTCGCTCAGTCGTGTCCGACTCTTTGCGACCCCATGAATCGCAGCACGCCAGGCCTCTGTGTCCATCACCAACTCCGGGAGTTTACTCAGACTCATGCCCATCGAGTCGGTGATGCCATCCAGCCATCTCATCCTCTGTCGTCCCCTTCTCCTCCTGCCCCCAATCCCTCCCAGCATCAGGGTCTTTTCCAATGAGTCAACTCTCTGCATGAGGCATATAGGAGTTAATAAACATTAGCAGTGATGATAATGGTAATAGTGATTGTATGGAACTTTGCTTTTAGATATGCTGGAAAAAGTAAAACATATAATAATCTTATTATTCATAAACATGACAAATTATTATGGCACTAGGTTGTCATTTGATAAAACTAACTTGGATTCTTTATAGAGTGAAATGATTTCAAGGTTAAAATTTAGATATTCACCTATAATTCATAATTTCATTTAATTCAATCAACAGCTAAGTCATACATGTTTATGCTTTAACATAAATATTATAGAGGCTATAATGACATTATAGCCTAAAATATGTATTTTTGTTATTTTTTTTTAAGTATTTATTTCCTTTCAATAGATTACTAGATTTAGCTTGCTAATTTTTAATGTTGCATATTTTCATAACTGATTCTGGGCATATTATCTTTTTATGTACTTCCAGCAAGTTTTATCATTAGGGTTGTGACAGATTCATAAAATCAGATAACTTGCTACCTCAGTCTGTGTCCTGGAAGAGTTCCTAACACATTTCAGTTTCATCTGTTGTTATTTTTTTCTATTTCTGTTCCCCTGGACAAGTATTGGATGGAAATCTGACTCTTTTCCTAAATGTTTCCTGATCTGTCATTGAAGAAAAACGTCTGTTAAGACATTGAGTATCTCTTTGTGGGTTGAGGAGATAACAGCATATATTGCTGGGGACATTATTGCAATAAGAAAAGAATTCCTAGCCCCCAAGGAGTTTAGAATCCAGCAAAGGGGATTACTAACAGAAGGAAGATTGAAATGAAAGCTACCCTGGAGGAACAAAGAACTGACCTTTCCTGGGGGCGGAGGTATGCGAGCACGGTATGAAGAACACTGCTGTGGAGGCAAGGCTTCAGCGAGTAGGCTCCACAGGGAGCAGGTGGCGGGGGCTTTCGGTGGGGAAGCGGCTGCTGTTAGATCAAGGCCGGGAGAGGTGAGGGACCAGAAACCACCCTCTCTGCTGAGCGCGGCCATGGCCGGGGCTCCCATCCTTCAGGGCAGAACCGCTGCCGCACGGCAGGGGGCGCCACGCCGAGCTGGTCGGTTCTGCGCTCCTCTTCCTTTCCCACCGGAGCTGCCCTTGATTTTCACCCTTTGTTGTATATTACAGTAGCGCCTTTTTTTCTCATTTACATTCCAAAATAAAAAGAGGGGTCAAAGTTTGAGGGGTTTCCCTGACCATTACTCAGTAAAACCTGCAGTGTTTCTTCTTTCCGGTAATTCCATCACAGGTGTTTTCTCCTATCTTGGTAGTAGCAGCTCACTGCTTACCTTTTCCCCTGCATCTTTATCTGAGGCGCTGTGGAGGATCTTGTGTCTGTGCTCGTCACCCAGTACCAAAGTCTCCAAGTCTTCTTTTAACTTCACTGTGCAGATGTTTTAGGACCAGAGTTTTCAGCACCACTGGTGTATTTTTTTGGCCCTCTTTTCTTTTATAAGCTTTTTTTTCTTTTATAAGCTTTTTTATCTTTGACTTCATCTTGAGGCCACAGTGAATTTTGTTAGCTTTATTTTTCTGTTGAACAGGATTTGTAATTTTTCGTGACTTAATACTTTTAAGGTTGTAACTAACTGTATCTAA